ACAGAAAAATATAATGAAAACTCCATTAAATAAAATTATCCCACGGGTAAGTTGAATTTTTTAATATAAACACATGAATGTACCAGTAATGTAATCGAACTACGCCTTTTTTATTCAACATTTAAACTAACAAAAATTTCACAACAATGGTAATAAAATTTTAACGTCGGAGTTTTCAACTTTTTATTTTCACTCTTGATGTTTCGTTTGTTTTAGTTTCAGGTGGCATAATATTTTAATTACATATTAACTAAAATAGGTACAAACAAAATCGAATTAGCCTTAGTTTTTTACTCTTTCTTGCAACTTGTATGTAGAATATAAAAAATACATATAGTTAGTATGTAAAGCCTTTTCAACTAAGAAAATAAATTATTTTTGTGAGACATTTTATAAGTATTTAAGATACTAATTTATGGCTATCCCAATTCGATTAATAAAATCTAGGTCGTTACAAAAGAAAAAATTATAAATACAAACACAAGTTAAAATATCCAGAAGTTTAAAATTTGCTGATACGTTACTTTAATACCCTCGTCCATTTACAAATATATTGAGGATAGAAAGACTAAACTAGACACTTAGAACTGCAACGTTTCAATTTTATTAATATTATTTTCAACTTCTTTTTTTTACATTAACTAGTATATAAATTGAGCTATATAAGAGAGGTGGCTAAATCAATAATAGTTTATTAATAAAAATCGATTAACTGTTTTCTATAAAAACAGGGAAAGTTGTATTCAAATCCTTTAAGTATTTTATGTACACAAAAAGTATAAAATGTACCTATATATTTTGTCACCAAAGAATTTGTTAATGTTTATGTGCAGTTTTAAATACATTTTTTTTCTATTTAGCAGCACCAAGATAAATTCCTATGCACTAAAATTCACGCTTAAAGCCTACATTGGACATATAACTACAAAAGTTTTGTATTTAAAAATACTAGTTAAGCTAATGGTTATAATATATCTAGTTATATATTTCAGACTGGTTACAGAATTCAACTATTACTAAATTTTTTCCTTTTTTATTTGTTATCTTTTACTATCTCTTTTTTGTTGCATAGTAAAACTTTTGTTCACATAAAAAATGTATGTCATAAAAACAATTACTTACATCGATACACTGTCTCCGACTAAAAAAAATAATATAGTATTAGACTTAGATAATAATTAATAATTAATTGACATTTTGATTATTTGACCAATACCTGAATGTTTGAAATTAAAGAAGGGCATTTATCTGAAGCGTTTATTAAATTACATTGAAAGTGTGCACACTGAACATTGAAGAATTATCTCATGTCAATCATAAATGCTCTTCGTGAAACAGAGTTTTATAGTTTCGAAGTAATGATATATAAATCTTCAGTGTCTAAGTAATATGAGGTACGGTATATAAATAATGTTTATTATTTTAAACATACATATACATTGTTTGATTAGATTGTTATAACAAATAAATTGGAAGAGCAAATAAAAATTGCCTCGTAAGTTATTTGAACAAAAATACTTAGAAACATATATATATTTCCAATTTTTCCATAAAAAAGGAAAATAGTGTAGCAAAATTAAAATGAATTTCAATTACTTCATTGGATTAAATCTTTCGTTTTGAAATTCTGTACCACTTTTCAATATATGAATAAATCTTTAAAACAATCAGTTTTCATAATCACCTGCTCCAAATAGGTGTTCACGTTTTGCCCCGTAGGTGTAAATACGTGACACGTTCGTAATTTACGCAATAGCTTTTTAAGGTAAAGTCTAGAATTTGATATCCTAATTTTTTACCTATTATTGAATAGAAGAAAGGCAGATAAAACTATTCATGATCTTAAAGAAAATTTCTGTGTTCTTTTGTTTCCTTCCTATAACAATCGGGGCCCATTAGGTTAACAAAGAAACTCTATTATTGCCCTACAAACATGTTCTATTAAACATATGTTTTATTATACAACAAACAAAAGTTTTATTAATTATTATACAACTAAATATTGTTGGCATTGAAGTAAGAGATACTTCTTTAACTATTATATTATTATATATTAAACCAATTTATGATCATAGAAAATTGATAAAAAGATTATCTTATAAAGATTTTTTTTGGGCTATAAACAAATACAACGGGGAGACTTGCAGTGAAAACTGTTTTTGCAAAAAACGTAATTTAATTATTTTAAAGAGATGAAGATTATCTTAAAGGTTATTCTGCCAAAATTCAGAATTTCCACTTAATCGTTTACGCTACCTTATTGCCATAAAATTTCAGAGGTTGTTAAGGAATTACGGTTGCTTTGGAATTTCGTGTCGATGTAAGGATAAAGCTTTTGGAAGTTTTAACGTGTGTTATCGCGATCCTAACGTCAGTTTCGGATTTTATCTTTGTCGTTTGGGTTATAAATATCTTTGTAGGTTAATTTACGACAACAATAGGTTGTTAATTAGAAAAACGACATATACTTATATGAATATATGTATATTCATTATTATATTAAATTGAATTTACTGTAAAGTAATAGTACACATTTAAGTCAATGCATATTGTTCATATATACGATAAACTTAAGATTCATTTAAATAAATCTTATATTTTAAAAATAGAAAAAATATTTTTATTGTAAAAAAAATTAAACAACAACAACAGTCAGTAACAGGATATTTTTTATTACTAAAACTTAGTTATACATATTATATTTTACTAGTTATGCGCGCGTGGGATAGTTATTTTGGGCAACATATTTTTTTTTGCAAACAACCCACACAGCTTTATAAATTATAGCTGTTACCCATGACTTTGTCCGCGTCTATTTTTGTTATTATTTTATGTAATTTAGTTTTTAAAAGAATATAATTATTATAAAGTACTTCTGCGTAAATACACACTCCCTCCACTAGTCGTATAAGCAACAGTTGTCCTCGCTCGCCAGCCAGGCGCGTCATGTTTTGCATATCATGCGGCGCGTGTAAATTTTATATCGGAGTTATTTTAAAACTACAATATCAAAGACGTTCACTAAAATTCAATTATTTTTACAATTAAATACTTTGAATCAAAAATCATTTATTTGGATAAAGACTAAAATTATGATGTTGGTACAACTCTAACAAATAATTGGTAATAATGAACTAATTTCGACCAAATTTGATTACCATTAAAACGGTTCTAGTGAGTTAATCTTAATAGATAGAAATGTACTGTCGTGGACATTATTTTACATAATGTTTAGAGGAATAACTCTTTTATAGAAGTTTTTTTTAGTATCTTAAACTGTTTTTGTAGCGTACATAACGGAACGGAACTCTCAAAGATTTTCAACAGTTTTCAACGTTTTTTTCCACATTTTCCATTGTTTCGCTCCTATTAGTTAGTGATTTTATATAGCCTTAAACTTTCCTCGATAAATGGTCTATTCAACACAAAAACATTTTTTCAATTTCAACCAGTATTTTCTGAGATTAGCACTTTCAAACAAACAGAGAAATTATTCAGCTCTATTACATATATTACGAGATCTATGTCTATTAGTATAAATTTTCCTAGACCAACAAGCCATAAGAGAGTCTAAAAATAATTTAAATTATCTCAAAAGCAGGAAATTTTTCTTAAGAACCATTACCTCTATCGTAATGAGTTGTATCGTTTTAAGAATTTTCAAGATTTTTCAGAAAAAATAAAGTACAATAAATCATTATTATTTAGTAAAATAAATTTACAAAGTTCAGATTGGTATTTAAGTTTAGTTATCTATGAAACCAAGATAACATTGTCTATTGCAATCCGTCCATGACAAATATAAAATAAATAATTCCAAAAAGCAAAAAAATTAAAGTATGAACTAAATAAAAGATATCTAGAGCCTAATTATGTCAAATGTAATTTAAAGTGTTCATTTATTTTCACTGTCTGCATGAGAAAAGACAAAGCGCATCGTTTTTTCTATTACAATAATGTAATTAAAAATATTGTTTACAGAAAAAAAGAAATCTTAAATTAAAATACGTTGTATATAGTAATCTTATTAGATTTATTTCTTTTTAAACGTTATATTGTAAGAATTATTATTTCTTACAATATAACGTTTAAAACACAGTAAAGGGAAAGAGGTGAAAAGTGTCACAAGGTCATTTTGTAGTAAACCTGTCTGCCCATGTTCTGTTGATTTTGATGATCGAGTATTTTGTGTTTTTTTAGTCTGCATATCATAGACATAATATATAAAAATATTAAAATATAATTATAATTGCTATCAACTGTTTCTTCACATTGGCCTATAGTAAGTTTATTTCTTTTTAATATGAAACTATTACACTAGATTGGTTAATTTCTCTGAAATGTAAATATGGTAATCAGGCTTTATGTTGGGTCATATAATTCACTTCAATATAGTTGTGTAAGAGATAGTCCGCACTTGTAAATACCTTGGTCACTGGGCTGCTCTAGTTATAGGTTGCGTGTTTGAGTTCAACAGTATTATTTGATTTTAAAAAGAACTGTATGATTGACGTTGTTTAATTGGAGTATTAATTGCGACGGAGTTGTAAATTCCGCAATTAAGTATACCGAGTAACTACCGAGTTTTTTCCACCTTGTTGAAATCAACATTCTGAGCAACTGTTTGCATACATTTTATTTTAGTTGTGATCTCGAAAATGTAAAATTATTTTCACTTTATTTATGTTAAAGTGACTGACTTGCCTAGAAAATGTTGATTTCGAAGTTTTCCACAATTTGAAGGGATATGTGGGTCGAGGTAGACCTAAGAAAAGATGGACGGATTGCGTGAAGAATGACATGGGTAAGAAAGGGGTAACCAATGAGATGACGGCTGATAGGCGACACTGGAAGAGAAGAACATGTTGTGCCGACCCTAAATATGTACATATAGGGACCAGGGCAGGAAAAAGAAGAAGAAAAACATCTTATGTTAAGAGTTCCTATTTAGCTATGTTGAAAATCAACAAAGACTTAATTGTTAAATATTATTATATTATTTAATCCTCGTGTTCATTCACTGCCAAAAATAGAATCATAATATTATATAGGAACCACCTCGGACATATATCAAATTTATTAAGAGATATTTATATTTCATATTATACTTATAATATAATGCATTTATTATTAATGGACATAGTCATTGCTTATATTGAAACGCTTACCGATAACATCGAGAGCTATTCTATAATTTCTTGTTGGCGACACATAGAAGTCGACTCGACATCTGTATATGGACCTATCGTCAGACCGGACATCCCGCACCTGGAGACCGGAGTTTGGGTAGTCGACCCATCTTGCTCGATCTCCAAACGTGTCATCTGACCAGTGACCGGTTGACCCTGAGACTCTTGTGTCATAACTGCAATATAAAATAGAAAATGTATATAAAATTTCTTATACATGAGAAACTATAAAAAAGAAGTTATGCATGTAAAGTTTAATAGAAGAACTAAAAAAGATTTTTTTTTATGACATTTCTGATATATTATAACTTTTTTCCTATTGGGTTTCTAGTATATTAAAATTAAATAAACGTATCGTCATCTTAAAAGAGTCCAAACTAAAACGAATAATTCCACATTAAAATCTGACATCAATTACGCTCTCTCGGTCAAATAATGTTATTGGACTGAATTTATTTCATCTCCATTACAATTAGATTACACTGATTAATGCGCAAAGCTGATTGTGAATAACCATTCAATTTACGTTCCAATTGCATAATATTTAACTATGGTGACAGATTTGGTGAACGTTGAAAACACTCTATTTTCTACATCAGTGTATTTATTGCTTTTAGAATTCGAAACAAAAATTGAAACCATATTATGTGTAAAAATGTTATAATTTTCATCTTCTGATAAACGTTACGTAATGTTTTTTTAAGTTACGTTAACATTGATATATTTAAAAAAACAAAAAAAATCTGTAACCTAAGTTTGTGGTAAATATTCAATGTTTAACCAGTTATTGCTGTATTTGAACAAGCGCTAATAAACTTTCCTGCAACAATTTTCTTTGCTCTCACCGATATGATTGTATTTTGCGGTATTTCCATGATAAATTATAAATATTTTACAAATTTCTTATTTTTTGAGTTCTTGAATTATATTTAAGTTATATTGAGTTATTCTTTTAATAAATACAGATTCAATAATTTTAGTGTAACTCTATGTTAACAAAAATTTAAATCAATTTATTTATCGAATAGTTCATCATACGTGTGAAGTGAACTCAATAGAGCCTTTGCGTACAAAACCACAATACGGGTGCATTCAGTATTAGTATGAACCATTTGGGACGATTCAAGCGGTTTGCATTATCACTGTAGCACTGTGTAATTTGAAAACCATTGAAATTATTTGTTTACTTTATAAACTACAATTATTGTTGCAAGAATATTTTTAATTCATTCTGGAAGAATGATATATACCACAAACAAATATATACGTATATATGTATTTACGTATATTAAAATTTGACTCGGTCTGAAAGAATAATAAGATAGCTTTTACAGAAAAAGTTTTCTCACATATAAAATATAGAACTTCAAACAATAGGTTTTAATAATGTATAACAAAACAGAATATTTTGTAGTTCAATCAATCATAACGTTTTGTGGTACCGAATATAACTTCAAACTCATTAAAATGGTTCAGAGGACTTTATCATATTCCTCCATTCGTTAATAACCATCGAAAAGATTCCATATTATTTCGCACTATTGAATCTGAAATTCAATATATCATTCACAAGTATCCCATACAAGATTCCAACAGACAGGTAAATAAAAGTTAAGTAAGATTTGATATATACAATTATACATATATCATTCTCGATCCAATGGATAACTCTAGCAGGTACAATTAAATGTAATAAATTTTTTTATTTGTAAAATATTATAAAAGATCCTTTATCAAAATTAGTTACAAGAAATGTATAGAATACTTGCACTTTATTATACCAGGTTTTAGTTGGACTTCTACATTTCGCTTGTAAAGTTAATAAAATTATAACAAATTGCTCACACACTCTCATTTCCACTCTCCATGAAATAAATTTATCCAACATACAAAATTTCACTTGCAAATTCACCATTTCTATTCAATTACACCATCCTTCCTTAATAAACTCCTCAATGGGCTTTGTTGGAATACTTTCTCAGTATTTCGTTAAAACCCAAAACAAAATGATTGATGTCGAGATTATTTCTTGTAAAACGCCTATGAGATTGAACGAGGCTGTCGAAAAAAAAAATACTATTTAAAAAACGTAATATTTTAATATTTATCTGTAAATATTTACAAACAATTGCTTCCTTCCTCTTATGATCCTTATCTTGACATATTATTCGTAATTTACACGAATAATATATGGTAGGTATGTAGTAGGTATAAAAGGACAGTCATCGACCGATCAACAATTACGTTCTGTTCAGGGACAGTTTATTATAATAATTTTCTGTCAAGTTATTTTATATAAATTGATCAATACAATATTATCATGGATTTAGATACTAAAATTATATTAATATAATTACACAAAAATTGTAAGTTACGTAAATATATTTTTAATTGTATACTATATATATAAGTCAGCGGTGGCCTAGTGGTTAAAGGGCCCGCCCCTTGTTGTCGATGGCGCGGGTTCGATCCTGACAGGTACCAATGTGATTTTTCCGAGTCGTATGTATTTTCTAAGAGTATTTAGACACCACTGACAGACGGTGAAAGAAAAAATCGTGGGTAAAACCCTGGACTTTATAATTTCACAATTATAAGTTTGAAATCACCAACCCTTCTTGAACAAGCGTTGTAATTAATGCTCAAACCTTCCCCATGAGAGAAAGAGGCCTTTGCTCAGCAGTGGCCTCTGATAGGCTAAAACAATATTTTATATATGTATATAACAACTTGTCTATAAAAAATATACAATTTTATTAATCTATAAAACAAATGATCTGCCTATTGTGAAAAAAGAAATTGCAATTAGGTTATTCAATAATCATGACGTTATATCTAAATATACTAAGAGAGCCATTATCATGAAATAATAAATTGATGTCATAGACAAAATTGTTCGAAAAGTACTTTAAAGTGCTATTACATGAATAATCATGAAATTATACAGGGTGACTGGTGAATTACTATCAATATTTAAGGAGAATACTCGGTACATGATTCTCATTCGAATTATGTAAAAAAAATAGGTACTTAATTTTTGACCAAATTTCCGTATAAATAAATAAAGCGTGGGCACGTTCCAAGTGTTCCAAGTGTGGCCGCGTGCGGCGGCGTGCTGATACAACACTACGCCGCCACACGCGTATGTGTGAGTGTGTGTGTATACCTAATCTGTAGGGTGTTCACACGATGCGTAATTAATTACATAACTTTTGGTTAACTTTACTTAGAAGTTTATTAATATTTATGTTATATTAATTTTTATCTTGTCATATATGATCGTCAAATATCACGTCCTAAAGTATTGATAGTAATTCACCAGTCACCCTGTATAATACTTATTTGTTTAAAAATTTCCTCTAACAACAAAAAAGATCGTTAATATATTTGAAATGCAATTCATTATTAACATTACTTTTACAATAATAATTATAATTAATGAATGGTTCAAAGCATTTTGCACAGATAAAAGTAATAACCAATTTAAATGATCTGATCGCGTGCAACGCACAAGAACAAATTACATAATTGTAGCAAGGCCGCTTTATAAATTTATTTATTAAAATGGTATAACAACAGAATTGTTATGTTTAGTAAATTACTAGTTTCACATTTTAAATTTCTTTAATTTCTCTTTATTGAATTGACCAAACCCAGTTATTGGAGATAATTAATTATTTTATAGTACTTGTATTCCATATGGTAATTATATATTTGTTTAGTTTTGGAACATTTAATTTCAAGCATAAAATTTTATATATGAAATTATAAATACATAATAAAGAAGCCTTTAAATATTTTATTAAATTTACTCCGAAAATGTGATTGTAAAATCTTTAATTCACCGGAATGAATAATGATGAACGTTGTTTAAAATTTTAAATTATAGTTCGGTTTGTACAGTTAACAGCTACAATTACGTATGATTACGAACACCAAATGGTAAAGCTGTCGAAAAATCCAAATGAAATTTTAATATACATATTTTTATATTTAAAGACACTCAATACTACTTTATTAAAATAAGTTTTTTTTTTTTTGTCTTAGTGATTTGTAAATGTTCCAGGGCTGGTTTTATTTGCGGTTGCTATTAGTAAATGTCCTTGGTCCAACATCATTCCAACACCTGCGAAATGTTAATGGTGCATTGTGCGGCACATACAGAGAAGCCTGTGAACGTTTGTCATTGCTAGAGAATGATGCTCATTGAGACCACACTCTTGAAGATGCTGTGATTTCTTCAAATGCTAAACAAATAGAAACATTGTTTTTGATAATTTTGTCTACTTGCTTTCCATCAACACCGATCGATTTATGGAACAATTACCAAGATCATATGGCTGAAGACATATTACATGAAAAGCGACTTAGAACATGGTATGTAGATTTGCAAATTAACAAGGAAATTCAGAATGAAGCATTAATTTTAATTGAAGACATATGTTTGATGTTTACAAACAAAGAATTAAAACAAATACGAATGAATTGAGATTCGAAACTCACAGACAGAACATTGTCTGTTGGATCATTTATACTTAATAAAGAAATTAACTTCATTCACATAAAAAGTTAACAATTATTTCTTGATTATAGAATGGTACGAAGTTCGCCGGGTCAGCTAGTTTCTTAATAAATAGATATTTATGATATGTAGAAGAAATCTTCTATGAATAGGGTTTCTACAATAAATTTTTCCTTTTTTTAAGCTGTAGAAGTTTTTTTGTAACTTTATTTAAATTTTAAATAGGTTTTAATTTTCTCGATCGAAGACCACAACTTTTGCCAATGGTAGGTATAGTTACCAAATATCATATTAAAGACTAATGTTGTCCAATAAATCCGTAATGTCAACAATTGCAATACTTTTACCGTTATTGAACAACCATTAATAGATGACACATTACTGCTTTGGAATCCCTAAAAATGCGAGCAAAAAGGGTTTTGGTGACGAAAACATGGTTAGATGATTGTAGTCAACTTAGACCATAGAATAAAAAGTACCTATTCTCTCGGCATTCTATAGGATACAGTAAAGAGAGTGTTAGCTGGAATCGTAGGCTTTAATTACTCTCTTTCTTTATCATCGCACTTTAAAACGCATGGCGGGCCTCCAACCTTCGCTATAGACTTTTCTTGCATCGGAAGGAAAAATGATAAACTTTCCCCTTCCTTCTAT